TGTCCTCGAACTCATAATCCTCCCGCTTAAACCTCCCAAATACTAGGATTACAGGTATGCGTTCCCATGTTTGGCTCAAAAAAGGTGTTTTATTTAAACCAATTCTGTATTTAGACTCAGAGAGAAGGCACAAACTCATGTGTAGGTAAAAATTTCAGATTATCAATGACTGTCATCATTTACCTATCTGATCCTATTCTGGGTCAATAGTGTGCAAGGATATTACTTTAAGATGTTTGCTCTGACTTCAACCCTCTGATTCCATGAAAGAAAAGTATTTCTGCCTGATATTGCCCCGGATTTCCCCACAGGCTCACACTCCAGGCTCAACATACCCTGCCTAAAAGTTGTAACTTCCCCAGGTACTTCATCTATGTATTACTATTATTAATTATTGCTATTATGATTGCTTCTGCTTTCTAGCCACCATGCTCTGTGCTTATCTTTTACATCAGACTCTGGGATGGGGTCTACTTCTGATTTGGCCTCACATCCCTGAAGTCCTTCCTTCCTGGCCTTTTGCATGCCCGAAGCCCTGACAGTTCCCTGGATGGATACATGGATGCACGGACAGCCGGCTAGACAGGTAGACGGCTGGCTGGCTGGACAGCAGGACAGATGAACTAAGGGCTGGGAGGAAGCAGGGACGGGCACTCTTCCTACGTGTGTGCTACTGCAAGTTCCTCTTGTTCCTCTGGGACAACAGCACACATCCACCCTCTTTACCACACTCGTTTGATTCCTAGGCATGTACTCAACGGGAGGGCTCACAATTTCTCTCCTGCCACCACTACATTCAAGCTCACCGGCACACAGCAGCACGGGAGAGCTCTGAGGGGGTCCACGGCTTGAAGGGTGAGCTTTTTGACTGAACCACAATCCACGCATCACTGCTCTCGCTTCGTATTTAAGAAACAGAAGTTTTCTGCTGGGAAAATTCCCTCTCTCACCTGCTTCACGCACCTCCCAACCTCTGCAGAGAGACCTTTCATCTTTCCTAAGGCCCTCATCACCTATTCTCTCAAACTTTAATTTCGAAAACAACAGATGAGGAAATAAAGGCCACAGTAAGAAAAATAAAACAGGTTAGTCGACAGCAAAAGGAGTACCTGCCAATAAGAGCACCGTTTGTCCTAGTTACTGCTTTTAACTTCCTCGCTCTCCTGGCATTAATAGAAATAAAACTGCATGTCTCCAGCCTCATGCTGCTAATGTACAGTTAGCACCCCAGGCAACGGGAGCCACGGAGTTCAAGTGCAGTGGAAGCAAACTCAAGTAAACAGATTGGAGACACGATTGATTGCAACACTTAGTCTCATGGTACCACTCATCACAGCTGCTGGGTTTCATGTAAAAACAGGGAGTCCTGTGGTGGGACAGCCCCATGGAACCATCTAGGCCCCCATGCCACAGAAGTACCTCTCTGTCATATAGAAAATGTGGAGGGATCAGCAAAGAATGGATGAGAAGTGGGGAGTAGTTGTTCCCATACAGGGTTGCCTGGTTCCAACAGACTCTTCTACCCTACACGCCAATGCCTGCTTCCTTCCCCCCAACCCCCGCCTCCTACAGCCACAACTCTGCCAGGGGCGCGGCAGCTGTCCCACCAGATGACTGCCTTCCAGCAAGGCCATTTCTCTACACTGGCACATCTGAGCACTCTGATGGTGCACCCCAAGGTCACCTTTCCAATTTGCTTATACCTCCACATCAGATTTGCACTACTGTCCCCGGTGGTGTCAGTGCGGCTAACTGCTCAGAACAGGGACCAATGTCACCGATGCAAAGGAGCAAGAATAAGTGACTTAAGATCTGACGTGGTGGCCCTCTGGAGTTCACAAGGTGCTTCCAGCACCACAGAGACCACGTGATCCTTTCCCTGAGCCTCTGAGATCTCCAAGGCAAGCATTTCCTTTTCTCTTTATTCTTTCCAACCCAGCTGGAGGATCCGGTTTGCCAACAAAACCTTAGATTTCCAGCAAAAACTTAGATGAACCTGGGTCCTCGTGTGGCTGGAGCTGGGCACGGTCAAAGGCCTCTGAAAAGAAACTACAAGCCTGGTCCGTAGATCCCGCTCGCGCCATGCTCCCTGCTCAACACCCTTCTTCCATCACGCCCAACGTCTCTGAGTTCACCCTCACCACACGGCAAACGTGGTTCTTGGGGCCTGAGACCCAAACTGTAATTTCCTGATGAACTTACGTGTTGAATGAGGTCTCGCCTTACACAACACCACGTCCCTCTCTAAACAGGCTGGGAAGTCACCCCCTTCTCCCACAGGAGGACTCATGCTGAGGAGCCCCAGGACCTTGGGCCTCCGCTCGCCAGAACCAAGCTGGAGATGCTAAGTAAGTGGTGAGACTCCTTCTGTCCAACCCCAACAGCTCATCCCTTCACGCACTGAAGGGCAGCAACAAAACGTCCAGGTTTGTTGAAACGGTACTCAGAAACCCAAGGACAGCTAGGGGGTGAGAACAGGTCTTTTGTTAAGTCTTCAAGGGCCATTCTGACATTTCTGGTCCCCAGACCTCCCACCTGTGTTCTGCTTCATGGAACCACACCATGGCTGTTGAGCAGGGCTTCCTGCGCAGAGACAGCTAAGTGACAGCAGAAGGAGTCACCTGGGTGGCACTGGTTACAAAACCCCCTATTCGATGGCTTCTGCATTCTAGTCTTCTTGGGGGAAATGCCGATTGGCAAATGACAGCAGTCAGGCTGGTGTGTCAGGAGCACTCTCTAAGGACATAAAATACATAAGATGTGGCTCATAAAATATCTGCAGGGTGCTATAAGGAAGCTACCGCAGAACAAGTTGTTTTACATGTGCTCATGTACAAACATATCTACAGGAAATATTACGGTGTATGTAAAAACTGGCATCTCTCTGTTCAGACATGGCATCTAAATCCCTGCAAGCATCGATGTGATTACATTACTCCAGTGAGTTCCCTTGGAAAAGTCAGGTGTTGACTGCTGCTGGTGTCTGCAACAATTTCCAGACACGAGCCCTGCTGGTTCAGCGTCTGGACAGAGATAAAGTTCCTTAACTCTGACCACTTCAACTCAAGGTCATTGGTTACATTTAATGCTGGAATTTGGATTCCAGACTTTTAAAAACACACAGCCTGGGCACTGAAACATGACTGGTCACTCTGCAGTGAGTAACTCCGCCATCCTCAGCAATGGAAATCAGTCATGGAAGGCAAGTGCTCCCACAGACAGCTTTCCTTCAGGGTTGGAACAGGGGACTAGAATTCAAAAGTAAAATGCCCCCCACCCCAGCCTCGAGTCCATCTCCTGCCCTGAGTGTTACACGCCCCTCTATCCACACAGGTGCTCCAGAGGACCGGACCATTTCAGGAGAGCCTCACCTGTTTCCAGCCCAATGTCCATCTACCACCATGAGCCGCTGGCACACGGAATGAATACTGCCAACTGCCTGCCACAGCCATATTGCTGACCTGGGGTAGGAGCAACCTTAATACCACCAGCAAGACACTCAGCCAACTGGCTTTCCATGGCCTCTCCTTCCATAGCCTAGCTTTCCTTGTTTGCCCCAGGTGCCCCCTCCTTCCCTTCTCTGTCCTACATCATCCTCCCAGGTCCTGACCATGATCTCAAATGTTACAGCAAACACACTAGTTAGCACATACACAAGGCTCATCCCTGACCAGCGTGCTTGAGATAGAGCCTGGAGTTTAGAGCAGCTACACCTTCATCCTGAGTGTTGCTACACCATCCATTCCAGTCATTCAGTCTCTCTTTGCCTGTTCACACACATGCATGCACGCATGCATGCATGCACGCGCGCACACACACACACGCACGCACACGCATACACGCACGTACACCATCAACCGGGGGTAATGAACACCTCCTTCAAAGGTAAGCATCAGGACGCAATCAGATCAGGCACAAGATGAGTGCCTGTGATCCTATCAATTTTAAAAAAAGCATTCCAAAACACATTAAAGTGAAATTAGCACTTCTGTTGAATGTGATAAATCAAACATCTGATCATTTCTCCCTCCTCAACACTCCAGAAATGAGAAGAAATTTTGAAGAAATGTGATAAAGGACCCAACAGAACCGGAAAGGAGTGAGTGGAAGCACAGAGCCCCGGAGCAGGGGAAAGTGGAGGCTCCAGGTTCTGCAGAGGTGGGGAGGACCGCTCAAACGTGAGAACAGAAGTTTGCACCCCAGCACCCACATAAAAGTCAAATGGACTCTGCAGATGTCTAACATCCTAGGACTCGGGGTGGAGACAGAGATGTCTGGACAAGCTGATTGGCTAGACTAGCAGAACTGGCGAGAGACCCTGCCTCAGTGAATAAAGCAGCAGGTGGCTGACGAAGATGCCCAGTGTCAACCTCTGGTCTCCACACACAAGTGTGCACATGTGTACTCACACTTAACACACATGTGCCACGCACACAAAGAAATACATAAACAATGGGGGTGAGAACAGACGGACGCAGCAAGCACGCAACCTGCACGGGTCTACACCAGGGCCTCTGAATGCACATTACAGCCTTCAGTTCAGCTCTTTATGGTCTACACCAGGGCCTCCGAATGCACATTACAGCCTTCAGTTCAGGCTCTTTATGGGGCTCCCCAATGTGTGGACCAGTGCTGTGATCCTCGTGTCTTCTCTTGGTTTGCCTTGTCCAATCTTGATGTGACAGGTTTTGTTTCAACTTGTTGTATTTTATTTTGCTGTTTTGTTGTTATCTCTTAGAAGCCTGTTCATTTTTATTGACAGAAAGGGAGTGAATCAGGACTGGAGGAGAGGAGGGAAAGGGGGAACTGGGAGGGGTACAGGATATAGTATGTGAGAAAATAATCTGTTTTTAATAACAGGGAAAGGAAAGTGGGGAGCGTGGGCAGTATGAGGCAACTCAGAGAGAAAATGGTACAGTTAATAGCCCTCTGAGACATACGAGACTGTATTGTGCCCGTCAACGTCACTTTAAAAAGGGGCAGAGAAAGTCTTGTGTGTGGTAGCTGGAAAAGATCTACAAAAAGTCCAGAGGGAAAAAATTTGGAGAAGTCTCTGCTCAGAGAACAACAAAGACATACAGACAGACAAAACAGAGGGAAAAGATAAGAACATTTAAAGATCATCCTAAGAGTTTTAGCATCTTACTGATTGGAAATACAAAAAGGAGAGAGAGGAAAATATAATCAAAGAAGCAATACAGGAAAAATTCCATGAAATCAAAGGCAGGGGTTTTCAAGTTGACAAGGCCACAATAAATGAGTAGTCCTCCACGACGCACACACCATTGGGACAATTCAGGGAAGGAGAGTAACTAAAAGACCCCGAGCCTTGTAGAGAAGTAGAGGGGGAAGAGATCAGACCACATCTAATATCAGGGATCAGAGTGATGCTACACTTAACAGAGACACCAGAACTTCCAAGACTCTGGAGTGATACCTTCAGAATTCTGTGGGAAGTCAATTTTAACTTATACTTTACCAAGCTTTCTGATAAATGTGCAGGTAGAGGGTGGAACCATATTTGGACAGTCAAATATGAATAGTCACCCCTTTGCTCACAAGGCTGATAAAAATGTTCTCAATTAAAAATCTGGGTGCAGCCCACAAAATGGATAGACGGGGATTCGGAAACAGAGAAAGCAACGCAGGACGGCAGCTGAGTATGAAGAGAAACAAGCCCCGGGATGAGCCAGCGGGAATCAGGACTGGGGCCACAAAGGGCAGGGCGACCGCTCTACGGGAAGTAAGGGAGTGGAAACTCGGCTGTGTTTGCCCAAATGAAAAAGAGAGGACATCAAAAATGCAGGGCGGTGGTAAGACTGCACATTTAACGTGTGTCCAATCCCCAGAAACAATCCGGTGCATAGACACAGACGCAGAGCTTGCAGGTTTAGGAAAGAAGTATGGAGGCACCAAAATCACCATAAAACAGTAACGGCTATGGTCAGCTCCTGAAAAATGGAAGGCTATAAGTGACAAAAAAAAGAAAAAGAAATGTCGTATTTGTACTTTGTGTCTTAGCAGGCACTTAGTCACTGTGAACACTACCGAACTAAACTAAAAACCAGGAGAGAAATGCTTTGAAAGGAGGAAGGGGGACGGAGGGAGGAAACGATCATTATGTTCTACGTTTTGCAGTATATAGGTGGTACTTAATATTCTTAATATCTAGTCTTATAAAGCAAGTGCCAACATAAGCAACACAGTTAGCTATGCGGGGGCAGCTGCGTGAGTGGTGTGAGCGTGGAGGGGGCTACTCTGAGGAGCAGCTGGGAGCCAGGCCTGGAAGAAGCTGTGCAGGGAAACTGCCCTCCCTGTGGTAAGCTCCACACAGAGGCCCCAGCTCTGTGCGCAAGTCTTGCTTCTGTCCTATCTACCTGCAAGCATTCGGCGAATGGGACCACAGGCGGGAACGTAAACAACAGCCTCTTGCCGAGGTCACAGAGAGCTTCCCCCTGTCTGTTTCTACAGGGCTTGTCAAATTCCACCCAGCAAAGGCTCTCTCTGTCTGTGCCTGGCACCAAGAGGGTTCCGCCTCCAAATCAAACTCCAGTTCTGTCTCACCAATCCCTATGGCACATTAGAGGGGTTCAAAGGTTATCGTGCCCATAGCTTGGGACCCTAGCACAACTTGAACAGCTAGAAACACCCTTTGCAGAGCCTGCAGCCTGGCGATGGCTGGCCACCATGGTGGCAGCAGAGGACACAGTTACCAGACTTCCGGGGGACGCCCTCTGTCCCTCCCTGCCATCCTGTTCTCCAGGGAAGTCGGCTCAGTTTCTTTAAAGCATTCTTCACTTTGTGCTGTTCCTCGGTGCGCTTCCTAATCCTGCAGGACAGGAGCTGTGTCCCACAGTCACCCTGGCTCTCTCAGTACTCACATGCGTGAATGAATGAATGACACTTCACAGAGCCTACCCACAGACTGTTAAGTGGATGAAACTTCCAACGTCTAAACTTAGCTTGAGGTGTGAGGGAGAATATGAGGAGCTAAGTAACGAACCCCTGGAAATGCGCGTGGGGTAGGTAATGGAGCACTTGCTGCAACCCGGGTGTTAATAGCAGAACCTCTCAGGCAGCGGTGGCAGGGACTGAGCCATCTGCTCAGAAGACAGCAATCAGGCCACTGCAGCCCGGGAGCCCAGAGCCACGTGCCTGCAGCTGTGAGCAGAGCAGGAACATCAGGACACACCACCCCTCCCTCTTCCCAACCTCACTTACAGCCCTGGAGCCCAGAGCCACGTGCCTGCAGCTGTGAGCAGAGCAGGAACATCAGGACACGCCACCCCTCCCTCTTCCCAACCTCACTTACAGCCCTGGAGCCCAAAGCCATGTGCCTGCAGCTGTGAGCAGAGCAGGAACATCAGGACACTCTGCCCCTCCCCTCTTCCCAGACTTACTTGCACAGCTACCTTCTACCTGGTCAGCTGGCACAGTCGTCATTGCTCATGGGGGCTCTTGTCCTCAAGAGGAAAAATATTGTTTTTAGAACAATCAGAAGCAGAAACAAACGTGGCCTGGAGTAAGAAAATGAGGACAAAGCATACCAAATCCCTTAGGAAAGCCCTTGAGAGGGTGCGCTGAGGCCTCCCAGCCACCGGGCTGAGACTCCTCCTCAGGCTAGCGTAGATCTGCTCCACTGAGGTGTCTGCCCTCCTAGCGAATGCCTGAACTGTTTTCTTTTCTTTTCTTTTTTTAAAAGGTGAGAGAAAATAGTACATTTATCCAGGACAGACAGTCCTATGCAGGCAAATATAAAAATTCAGATTTGCCTGGTGTCCAACAGTGATGTTTGGGTGCACACATATCTTCAGGAGGAATAGATTAACTATGGCTTCAGGAAGCCATTCAATCTCTTTTTAGACAGCGTTCTGAACACAATAGGGGGTGGCCACGCTGAGGTCCACTAGCTGCGCCAACAGCAGGAGAAACAGCCAAACTGAGGCTGAGGAGAGGCAAGGTAGACACTGCAGAGGGCTTTGCGGCCACGCTCTGGTGTCTATTTCCACCAGGAACCCGAGCAGCAGAGGACTCAAGCGGGTATGATTGGAGCCACGGATGTCTTAGTCGGTTCTGTGTTGATATGAACAGACTACTACAGCCTGGGGAATTTATACAAGAGCGGAGGTTTGTCTCCTACAGTTCTGATGACTGCAGAGTTCAAAGTCAGGAGGCAAAGCTGGTGGAAGCATCCTTGCTATGCCTTCCCAGGGCAGAAAGAAGGGAAAGAGAGCAGGAAAGAGGGGCTGACCTCCATACCCACTCGCAGGGTAACACCACTAACAGGTAGACACCTGCATTCCCACTCCCAAGGTAATGCCGCTAATAGGGGTAGAAGCCTCCTTTTAAAATCATCTCACACTAAATCCCAGCTTTCAGGGTGGTTACATCAGGGGTTAAGTTTCAAACAGTGAGTTGGGGCGGGCGGCATACACAAACTACACCAACAGTTCCTTTTGCAAGAAGGAGAATGCGTCAGATAGGTGCTAGTGGCAGACAAAAACCTGTGTCCAGTGGTCCAGGAGCAACTGGATTGACAGTCTGGATGCAATCAGTAGAAATGCAGACAGAGGAAGGCAATGGCCATGCCATTGATGGAAAGCTGTCAGGACAGACTTGTACGGAGACAAGAGATGACTCCCACGTCCCTGAGGTGGAGGATGAGGCAGGCCACAGCACATCACTGCGATGGTGAAAATACGGGGAGAAGCAATGGGAAGGTAGGGTATAATTCCATCTAGAACAAATGAGATTTGTGTGGCTGTGGAGGGGGCAATACAGTGAACATGTCCACAGGCTCCTAAAATTCCTTGTGGGGGCCAGAAAGAAATATGAAGGAGAAAACATGGAACTCCAGGGGTGACTGAAAGCAGAGAGGAGGTCACAGAGCGCACTGAGTGGACTGAGGCAGAACAGAGCCTAGATCCTGAGGAGAGGGGAGGGATGGTCAAAGGAAGGAAGGGCAGAAGGGAGCAATACCCCACCGTCATGGCAGAAAGGGCGCAGAGAAGTCAAGCCCTGCTGAGCCTGAGGAAGAGAAGAGCTCACAAGAGCCACTCAGATCTGCTTTTCACACGTCTTCCGAGGTGACATTTACCAGGATAATTTCAGTGGCGTGGTGGGGGTGGAACCAGATTGCTGTGGGTTGAGCAGTTAAGTTGGGGATGAGGGAAGAAATTAAATGTGAACTGTATCTCCAGGAATTCCCTGGGGAGGGGGAAGGAGTAGAACGCCAAGATCAAGAGGGGACTGGGTGAGGACAGGGGCTAGGTATGAGCAGGCAGGGATGGGATGGGATAGGAGGCATCGTTAACCCAAGCAACCACCTCCCCTCCAGCCTGCCATGTCCGGAAAGCTCTGTGGTCTTTCCATGGTGTGATCCCTCCCAGAGCTGGAGTGAGACTCCAGAGAACAGGGCACCACACCTGTTACTCCCTAGAAAAGTATAAAATCTGTAACTCCTACAGTCCACGGCCTGCCCTCAGAGTCCATGATGACAGCCACGGAGACTGCATGAAGCCTCCCGAGATCGGTGGGGAGTCAGGTAATGTGACTTGGTCAAGCTCCGTGGATGGTGCATCAGAGACCCTGAAAGATGCAGAAGCCTGGTACCCACTGCGTTCCAAAAATGGGCCAGCCCCAAGGCCTGCCCATTACAAGCGTCCTCACTCATCATCGTAAGGACACTTGCAGCAGT